GGCATGGCCTTCCTCCCTTCTCTCCTCACTCCCGGGCAAAAGCCCCTTTTCCGGTTCCTTTGTCCCAGCTTAAATAGGGCAATTTGCAGGGGCACCGATTGGCTCAGCCCCAAGGGGGATGGGAGTCTGATCTGGTGGCCAGAACCGGGTCTAACCCAGTTCCAAAACCAGGGAAGTCACAGGGAGCAAATCCCCTCTCCTGCCACTGGAACCCCTTTACATCAACCCATCACAGTATCGGTGGTTGTTGTACCTCGGGAGAGCTTGTAAACCTGGCAAGTGGGCAGAGCCAGCCTGTTTGCTCTGCCACCTGCTCAAGCCTTCCCACCCTGTGCCTGTGTCTCTCTCCTTGGGGCTGCGCCCCGTGGCTGGCCTGTTGGGTGCTACCCCGGGATTTTGGGGTGTTTTTGAGCAAAAGCAAGCCAAGACCTTACTGCCACATGCATCCCTGGTCAGGTGTACAGGTGTACTCCACCGAGCTCCTCTCCCCTCGGTCGTATGTGTCCTCTGCCGCAGCCAGAGGTGGTGGCCATGGAGGTTTACACTGGTGAGTGCCAGGGTTTCCTTCGATGCTCATCTCACTGCCGTGGTGCAGGGATGTGCTGGTTTACCAAACCGAGAGGGGCTTATGCTCCTGCTTGTGTTCATTGGGGCAAGGAGCAGGGAGCTGCCTTTGTTTGTGAGTATGGCCATCTGGAGTGCCCTGGGGTGCCCTTTGGCCTGTGCCAGTCCCCCGCCACCCTGCAGCACTCTGTGATCACTGTTTTCCGTGACTTGTTGGATCCTTGCATACCTGGGTGACACTTTGAGTTTACTCAGGCACACGGAGGAGCACGTTCAGAGATTCTGTCCTGCCTCCACTCTCTTCTGCCTGCAAGGCTGGAGACATGTCTTCCTCTGACGGCCACTGGACTTCAGGGATACTCAGTGGGCGCTCCTCTTATATTTTCTATCCACAAAGTTTTGTTGCATCCCTGCAAGCCTGCTGTGCATGTAGATCCCTCAGCGCTGTCATGCTGCACTGATGGCAGGGCATGGTGGTCATCAGGAGGCTTCGCATTGAGTCTTGCAGAGCTACTGATGGCCTATGGTGCCTGCGGATGTCCCGAGCAATGTTCAGGCTTGTTATGCCTGCACCTGTGCTAAGAACCAGCTGCAGAGGCTGCAGGGTCTCTGGCAACCCTAACCAATGCCTGAGCAACTGTGGCCAATTATCTTGATGGATTTTATTTTATTTATGTCTCTGACCCAGTGACACACCAGTGATCTTGGACTTGTTTGCTCATGGCTATTTTTGTGCTGCCAAAGAATCTGCCTGCAGCCTCACAGAATGTTACATCTGGGCTGATTTGGATCCTGAAATGTCTTGGGGTACCCTGCAGTATTTGATTGGTTCGATGATCTCTTTTCTTGGGGAAGGAAAGGAGAGAAAAGGTAAACAAAGTCTGTTTGTTCCAGGAAATGTGTACCAATATGTCATGTGGCTTGTTTCTCTTTCTGTTGAAGATGATGCAGAAGCCTTGCAGAAAGCAGAGAGTTTTGTGCCAAACAGTGACCACCAGGAAGAAGCTGGCTCTGTGGAGAACATCGCAGAAAAGTCCGCAGAGACCTCACCTTCGGTGGTGTTTGAAAACATACAAGGATGCAGTCCAAAATGCTTATGTATGCTGTTGGAGAACATCAGTGGTCTTACAGTAGATGACGACTTCACTGTGGAAGTGATACCTGAAATAAATGTTGCCATAGCTACCTTTATAAAAAGTATTGGTAAGAGAGGATGAACACAATTCATTTCCATGTATATATATGAGTAAGAGCTTTCAGGGCTTGATTCCTCTCCCATTAGAGATTCAGTTTTAAAAAAGTACCTGGACTGTAGTCTGCCAAGAAAGATGTAGGTCTTATATACAGCTCCATGAAAATGCCTGTGATCCAATGTTAACACTGAAAAAAGAAAGTTCTGGCATCTTCATTAGCTAGAATTAGATGAGAATATTTCATTGTTTCTGTCTTATTTTGGGTTAGATGGAGAAGAATTAGAAGCAGACTGAGTGTGAAGATGAGTTCTGCAAATTATTGAAGTATGTGAAGTCTCTGTTTGAGAAGATAGTGGAACAGTGAGAAGTGCTTAGCTTATATAAGAGATGACTAAAAGGGGAACAGAGACAGTGGTAGTGAATAGCAGAAAGTAACATGGCTGTGTGCGTTTCCCATGTTATTGCAATGCAGAGTTATTTAGCACCAAAGACAGTTTTGCTCCAAATACAGGCAGAAGGAGACTCAGCTCGTTTCTCTGCCAGAAATGGTAGCCAGGGCTGATAACGACCCACCATATAGAATCATAGAATGGTTTGAGTTGGAAGGAGCTTTAAAGATCATCTAGTTCCAACCCCCCTGCCATGGGCAGGGACACCTTCCACTACACCAGGTTGCCCAAAGCCTCATCCAACCTGGCCCTGAACACTTCCAGGGATGGGGCATCCACAACTTCTCTGGGCAACCTGTTCCAGTGCTTCACCACCCTGGGAGTGAAGAATTTCTTCCTTAGATCTAATTTAAATCTACTTTCTTTCAGTTTAAATCCATTGCCCCTTGTCCTGTCACTACATGCCCTTGTAAAAATTCTCTCTCCAGCTTTCCTGTAGGCCCCCTTTAGGTACTGGAAGGCTGCTAGAATGTCTCCGTGGAGCCTTCTCTTCTCCAGGCTGAACAGCCCCAACTCTCTCAGCCTGTATTCATAGAAGTTCGTACTTTTCTTCACTTCACACTGCTCTTCTGTTTACAGATACTGAAGCATTTGTGAAAAAATGTTCACAAAACAAGAGAGTTAAAGAATTCAAAATGACTGCCAGGCTTCTTGAATTGACCCAGAGCATTAAGGCTGAAAACATACCGGCCAGTATTTCCACAGACTACATCACCGTTTACTTTGAGAGCGCACGAAACGGAGGGGGGCCTGTGTCAGACGTCCAGCTCTTCCCTGAGGAGAACTCAGCCATCATTACTTTCTGTGATCGCAAAGGTAACGCTGTCCTTTGCCCGACCAAAGTGCTCACAGGCAGAGGGCCTGAAAAAAAATTACCACAAATTGGGGCATTAGGAGAAGCCTGGCTTGCTATTGCCAAAGCCAGCGTACACTGTCCAGTTCCTGGGAAGTGCTCTGGATTTAGAAATACTGCTGCATGTCTAGGGTTTCAGAATCTCTCTGTTTTTTTATCATACCAAAGGTGCATTTTAATACCTGCGGGTTGTTCCCACTAATGTTTTTTCCCCATTTACAGAGGTTTTTATCTGCAATGCAACATGAATTGTACTTGGTGGAGGAAGCAGGATCTGTCAATGACTTTAATTTCTGAAAGCTAACTGTGAAAGCTGATTAAGGTCAAATATCTTCATTATCAGGGAAGAATAGAGCTAAAGAACAATCTTGTTACAATTCCTTGTGTCGAATTACTGTCCCGCTTTTGTGCCAGTGCAATCTCTGGTAAATATCTCTGTGTTAGGAGACTCCTGGCTTAGCAAATTCCTTTACTTTTAATTAAAGATATCTGCCAGGTGATTGTTTTTCTTCTGACTCTCAGAATTTGCTTAAGAATATTTTGTACATTAGTTAACACGTAATTTGGATCATGGTGATGTGGTTTTAAGTCCCTGCCAACATTATAATTCCTTTCCTTTGTCCATTCCAACTGAAATGGCAAAAAGAAAAAAGTAAAAATGCATTGGCACAAAGAGTTTTGTTTTAAGTTGAGGGTAAGGAGCATTTCATAGTGGTATGTTGATATGGCCCTGCTTTGTGGTGGAGTTTCCTTAGGAAATGAGAGCCAGGTGTAGCTGTACAGGTAAGTACAGGCACAACCATATTTACTGAACTAGTTGGAGCCAAGCTTCTTATCTTGTGCCCTACAGAGTGGTTTGGAAATCAGAAAGACATAAAACCAGCTCTTTCAAATGAAAAAAAAAATGATTTTATTCAGCGTAATAGTTCTAAGAACAGAGTAATTTGCTTGATTGGAAGTTAATGATATATGTGTGTTTGTATGTATGTGCGCTAACTTTTAGATGTAAACACTGTCCTGGAAAAGCAGCATTTACTGGAACAGACACCGATTTCTGTGCATCCGTATTACCACTCTCTGGAAACGGCTCTCTATGGAGAAGAAAGACCAACTGTCAAGATGCCAGACCCCATTGGGGTGCCACTAGATCCGTATGTCTGGCAGTTTTTACAAAGGCAGCCTAAACTGATCCAAGACATAAACGAGGAAATGGCAATTTGCCATTGTGAGCTAAAATGGCCCCAGACAGACTCTGAGCACCCAGAAATTATGTTGTGCCCGTCATCATCTCTCTCCAAGCAGAAAAAGCCAATGATTAAGTTGATCAAGACATGGAAGCAAGACACTTCTACTGAGTTCTCACGTGTCATGGCACATTACATAGCTATAAAATGTAAAGTAAATTCGGTGGATTGGGAAGAAGTGAAAAACAGATTGGTGAAAGATGTTGCTTTGATCATAACTGATGTTTCTGAGGAGGTGGTGGTGATTGCAGGCAACAGAGCAGCAGTGGACAGTGCAGAGAAAGAACTGAGGGAACACATGGAAAAAGCCATGAAGCAAAGTGAAAGGGAAAAACAAAACACAGAAATTTCTGTGTCAGTGATCCCAGGGAAGTATGCCGTTCTGCACAATGCTGGGCTAGAAGAGAATATTCAGAAGGAATATCCGTGCTTAAAGATCTTTTATGATGACACCAAAAAAACTGTTCAGTTGTGTGGATTACCTGTGGAAGTATATAAAATCAAAGCCGACTTACTGGAAAAGGTATTGAATATGCCATGTACCTCAGTTACCATTGATCCCCATGTTTTCCGCTATCTGCAGCGTGTAGATAATAAAACAATGTCAGAGACATTATTCACTAGGAAAAAAATTAATGCTTTTTATGAGCTCGAGGATTATACTGTGTTGCTATTCGGAGATGCTCCCAGAGATCTTTTAGAAGCAGAAAAGCAAATAAAGACAGGCTTAGAATGTGAGTGCATCAAGGTGGAGGATGGTGAAGTCATTAAAAAGGAGCAGTGGAAGAGTCTTCTTGCCTCCTTGCATAAGAACTACAATTCTTCCCAGGAAACTCTTGTCATTGATGAACCTGTTGGAAAAGAAAATAAAGTGATTATTGCTGGCTTTTCTAAGGCTGTAACAGAAGTTTATCAGAAACTTAATGATTTTATAGATAGAAACACACGCGTGGATAAAGTAATCCCAGCTAAGTCAGCGGTGGTAGTGCAGTTTGTAGAGCAGGAAAAATCCAGTGTTTATCTTAAATTAAGGGAGAACGGTGTGACAGTGTGTTTTGACACCAAGACGCCGTGTATTTCCCTGAGCGGACCAAGAGCAGAAGTGCCAAATGCAGTCACCACGTTTGAAAAAACTCTCTCATCCCTCTTCTGGAAAAACGTGGTGATTGATAAACCAGGAGCCAAAGAGTTCTTTACTGAGAGGAAAGACTCATGTGTTTTTGAGGCAAAGCAGAAATTTAGATGTTTGATTAGGCTGGAAGAAGAACAAGAACAACAGAAGAGTGAAAAAGTTGATGATAAAGAGAAAAGAAAGCTCTACTACAAGAAAATGCTGCCAGATGGAGTTGTAGTAGCAGTGTGTAAAGCTGACTTGTGTAATTACCCGGTTGATGTTGTGGTGAACGCGTCTAACGAAGACTTACGGCACATCGGTGGCCTTGCTGACGCGCTGCTGAAAGCGGCTGGCCCAGAGCTGCAACAGGAGTGTGAGGAGCTGGTGAGGAAGCACGGGAGTTTGCAGCCTGGGTGTGCGGTTATCACGGGCGCCGGGAAACTCCCCTGCAAGAACGTCATCCATGCTGTTGGGCCCAGGTGGAGGAAGGATGAGGCAGAAGAATGCGTGCGCTTGTTAAAAGAGACAGTGAAGAAAAGCATGCAACTAGCTGAAACATACAATCATCATTCCATAGCTCTGCCCGCTATAAGCGGAGGAATTTTTGGCTTCCCATTGCAGACATGTGCAAATTCGATTGTATCTTCCATCAAGGAGACCTTGGAAGAATACACGGAGGATAGATGCTTGAAGGAGGTTCACCTTGTGGATGACGTGGAAGAAACAGTTCAGGTTCTGAGCGAGACAGTGAAAAAAGTGTTTACAGCTAAATCATCCTACCCAAGGCTGCTGACGTCGCACCGGGAAAACCGTAAGCTGAGAGAAAAGCAGAAGAGAAAAGAGGATCTACGGATGGCTAGACATGGTCTGCAGATGGTTACGACAAATGAAGGACTGCGCATCCGACTGGAGCAGAAAAACGTGCAGGAGGCCACGGTGGGTCTTTAATTTTCCACTTCCTTTCTAATTTGATGTGAAGATCTTCTTTAAGTTTAAATAGGAAATGAATGACAGTAGGTTTTATTGTTTTACAAGGCAATCACTATAAAAAGGAACAGTGGCTATGTGCTACCTAAACAAGGATGTAAACTTGCAAAACTTAGGTTTTCAAGTTGGGATCTGTCACTCTGCAGTCATTTCTAGTGAGCAGCTTTGAATTTCGGGATATTTCATTCCCAGCTAGGTTTTATTCGTTCTCCAAATTTTAGGTCAACATGTAAAACAATTTGCTTTTTTTCTAAAAGGGAAATATTGAAATGCTTTCTAAAAGTATTTATATGATGTGTAGCTATCCAGGTTGGATATTGTGGGAAATCAGTCTGGGTTGCTGTTGTGAGTCATGCTAACAGGGAGGATGTAGCTTATTTTTTTTATTTCCCTTCTCTTTGTATGGCTTAAAGACACAGTCTATGAAGAAGTTACTAGTCTCTAGAAAAGCAACTCCATAGAAGAGTGCATGCTTAAGTTGTTTTGCCAGTCTAGACCTGATTCTACGTATTTTTCACACACACACACACGTTTATTTTTTTTTCTGTTTGCGAACAGTTTAATTAGTACTCAACTAGACCATTAAGACTCAATTTACACCTCTGACATAGTTTCTTTCCCTTATGTTTTTTTCTTCAGTGATGCAAAGTGCATCTTGAGATTTTTCCCTCTTTCAACTGCCTCTGATTTTTCTGCTTTGGGAGTTTAAAAGCTCCCTAGATGATTATTATTGTCCTGTTGTTTCAATATTGCTTGGTTCCGTTGTCATTTTGGTGCCTGTAAAAGCCGATTCCAATAAAAGAACAATAGTAGATGTAAAAAAGCTCAATATGACACACGTTTAAAAGACTGTGTAATTAAAAGACCTCCAGTGGAACTGCAAAGCAAACACAAGCTTTGGAGCTTTGCCTGTTTTACTTCATGAATGCACAACCACCTGCCTTCACCTCGTTTTGGTGCATGAGGTGCTGCTTTTCTGATAAGATGTAGACAGTCCCACTTCAGTGAAAAGGAGGAAAGGGACATCAAACTTTCTACATTACATGTTCTTTATGTGATAATGTATATTTTGCATCCTGTGATGATGGTAGAGAAAAAGGAACAATACTGCAGCAGTTCTTCACAAGGATACATAGGAAAGGCTGATTCTGGGGAGAGGGGATGAGGCAGACTGCAGAGGTTGGGTTTATTTCACCTGTCCAGACATTGGCATCTGTTTGGGACGAGGTGAGTCACAGCCTTACCTCCACTGAGGGCTTGACAGCTCTACCTGGATGGGTGGATGGACGGATGGATGACCTGTTTACATGTAGGGTCCTGTGGTGTTGGTACTCACAGTGGATCTGTTGCTGCCTACCGTAGGTTTCCTACAAGTCCAGGAATACTCGGTATGCAGAAGCTGTGCTGAAACCCAGGTTGTTTCTCCATTGGCATCTTGTTTTTCATGCTGTGCATTTGCTTCGGTAGTGCTTTTAGTCCCGATGCATATTTTTACTTGAAATCTGGCTATAGATATTTTCCATGTAATTTTGTTGCAGACGGATGTTATTGTCAACAGTGTTGGCACAGATCTGCAGTTTGGCGTGGGGCCTCTTTGCAAAGCTTTACTGGAAAAGGCTGGACCAGCGCTCCAAGTAGAGTTTGACAAAGAAAAACAAAGACAAGTTGCTGTTCAAGGGAGTGTGGTCTGCACCAGTGGATGTGCTCTGGCCTGCAAGTCGGTGCTTCATGCCATACTTCCCGTGTGGGATGGAGGAAAAGGACACACCCTGAAGGTACATTTTAATTATTCAAAAAATAATTTATTTTGAAAACAGGTTTATTTAGAATCCTATCCTGAAGTTTCAGGGTTTAAAATAGTTTAGATGACTCAACTCCATTTACTTCTGTTTGAGTGACCTTAAAGATGCCTTGATGCACTGAGAGCTTTTTCTCATACCAGTATAGTGTCTATGGAAGTAATAATAAATTATGCCTTTTAAAAAAAAATTATCTTTGCTGTGTTTTACAGACCCTAGAAGAAATAATCCATTTGTGCTTAAAGAAAACTGAAGAACTTGAACTGAATTCAATCAGTTTCCCAGCTATTGGAACTGGAGGGTTTGGATTTCCTAAAGCCGTTGTTTCTAAGTTAATGTTTGATGTGGTATTCCAGTTCAGTCGTAGTCGCACCCAGAAGACTCTCCAGGAAGTTCATTTTCTCTTGAATCCAAAAGATCTGGATAACATTCAGGTTGTTCTCAGGACAAAGCCCTCTGTTACATACTGTTCTAGTTATGCCTTAACAATGTATTTTAGTTATATTGCTTTCTTAATTAGCACTTTCTTACTGCTGTGGGCTGGTGACAGTGGGATCTCTCTCCAGAGTCTCACTCAGTGTCTCCGAAACTCTCGGCAAGCACAAGTTGCAGGAAAAATGGCCTCAGTGCTGGCACTGTAAACACCTCTAGATGCTCGCTCATCTTTTGACAGAGGAGTTCTAGCAACGCAAGGACAGTATCTATTATCACACTGTCCACACTGAGGCTTCCACTGTTGTTAACGATACCTAAAGACGACTGTAAAATGTGTCAGATGGCTCAGCAAGAGCTGCATGACTGTTAATTATAGAAATATTTGGTATATAAACTCTGTAATACTATCTTTGGTACCTTTTTTCTCTTCTTAGGCTTTTACCACTGAACTAGAACATAGGGTAGCTGAAAGTTGCGGTGCTGCAGCACGACAGTCAAGTAAGTTGTGTAGGGGCAGGAGGTGGGACACAGAAGAGAATGTAAATACTGTAAAGTGGTTTTATAGATATCAGGAAACAGATGAAATGTCATCAAGACACAGAGTGGGTTTTTTCCTCCTAATGATCTGGCATCCTTAAACTCCATTTGTAAAAATCTTAAAGAGGAATTTCTTTTGTCGAGGACTTGCTCATCTTTTAGCAAGGCTATTCTTCTCACATGCAAGAGGATATCCTGGTAGGAGAACCATTAGTTTGTCGTACTCAAAAGGTATAAGAACTTGGTATCACTTTGCCAGACAAGCCATAAATAACATGTATTTCTGTACCTTTAATCTCCTATATAGAGATATACAGAATGGATCATTTCCTTTCCATTTATTAATTGACAGTAGTGCAACACAGTAGCAAAAACATACGAGCAAACTGCATCAACAGCAAAGGCTTATTTATGCTAATATATAGCTCTTTCTTCTCAGTTGATGTGAGTATCAGTGAGATGAAGTTACGAGTGTGCAGGTAAAATATGAATTAGATAAGTTTAGACTGGAAGTAAGGAAGGGGTTTATATCTGTGAGGGTAAAGATGAAATAACTTACAAAAGTAGTGTGATGGAATCTCCATTACTAGCAATGCTTAAGCTGGATACTCCATTTCTTGTAAGAGTTAATTCAGGAAACTCTTACAGAGCTGATCAGATGAGATAACCCCAAGAGTCCTTTCTGAATTTATATTGCATAATTTACAGGAATAGAAATGGTTTCACTTTCACAGGATTTAGACGGTGAGAATACTGCACCTTCCTGCTTTCAGAAATGGAGTAAAGAGAAAGGCAGGGACTCTCTTATGTCCATCAGACTGATCTAGAGCATATTCCTCAAAAGGATAAGTTGAAGTTTCCATTAATGGAAGAGAATAATACTCCAAACTAGAAAAGAAGTGTTTTAAGGAGTTTTTCTTTCCTTTGCAGATTTCATTAGGCCTGTTTCAACTGAAGTATTGGGAGTTCATGAAATGCAGATTGGTTCCATTACACTCCAAGTAATTAGCGGAGATATTACCAAGGAGGATACAGAGGTTATAGTAAACATATCAAATTCAACATTTGATGCCACATCAGGTATTATATCAAATATGTAGCTGTTTAGTGATAAATTTGTGCTAGTTTTTAGAAGGGGAGAGGGGAAAGAATTGTCCGTATGTGAAACTTTTATGAAGTATTTTTCGGATGAGAGAGAAAGAGTTGTGATTAATCAGGAAACAGATCTTAAACAGTTTTTTTACATGTCCTAAATATTCCATTTAGTTTTCAAACTACTCAAACAGAAGATATCTGACCAGATTTTTCTTTTTTAAAAACCAAAAATGCTTAAATAAAAGGGAATTTTTAGATCAAATGTAATTCTGCAAAGCTGCTCTTGTCCTAATGTGTTCCACTGTATGCCAAAGCCCTGGTTAAGTAAATTGACCTGTAAGAAGCAGAGGATTCTTTGGTAACATTGGGAATTGCCAGTGTGATGGACATCAAATGACATAATTCAAAGCAATCAGAGTTTGGTGAGGGGCATACTTTTGGCTGGTAAAGTTATTAAATAGGTGTTTCTTAATGATTTATAGTCAATAATGAAGGCAGTGTTCTTTCTGCAGCCAGTACGGTGTGTCAGGGAGGGCGCTTAGGGGAACTGGCAAGGTTTTGTGCTTTGCCGGGTCTTACCCTGTGAGAATTTGGGGTGTTTGTAGAGTAGAGAAGTTGGGTAGAGTTTTGAGTAGAAATAGCTAACTTGTCTTAATGAATGCTTGTGCTTTTCTTGTTTTATTTAAGGGGTCTTCAAAGCAATTATGGATGCTGCTGGTTCCCAGGTAAAAGGAGAATGTGCTCAACATGGTATGTGGAAGCATACTGTTTTGTTTGATTAAATTATTTTTTTGTTCTCTCTGGAAACTTAAAGTTGTTTTACAATTCTCTACTCCAATTATATAATTATTTTATCTGAAAAAATAACTTTCACTTTTAGGAATTCTGAAAAGTCTTGTCGTTGTGACACCTGCTTTGAGAGATTTTCTTTTCGCAACTGAACAGAAGATGGGTACAGTTTTCTGATGCTAATAAATGCTTGGAAATTAATTTAAGTTCTTCACCTGTGAAATTGCTCATGCGTGTTCCTGACTTAAGAACAGAAACAGTCCCATTGACTTAAGCATAATTTTTAAGCTCACCTGTTGTCAGCTACAGGAGAGCTGAAGTTTTGAAACTGAAGACAGTAGTTGAAGACTGTCTCTTGGTGTAAGCACATGCAGGACTGTCTTTTAAAAGCTAATAGCAAATCGGCTTATATTCACAAATACATAATTATTTTTTATTGAAATAATGTAACTGCTTATCACCCTGATCATGAGTTTGTAGTCTGCATTCTGCCAGACCAGTAGAGCAGTAAAATCTCAGCTCACTGTGGTTGACTCCTACCAGCACAGGAAGGAACATGTCCTGGTTGCAGAAACAAAACGTTTCCACTCTCAGTCCAGAAGTTAACTTTCAAGACGGAGTTTCCTGGATGCTTTTCCCAGCCTTTGGCTCTGCAGGCTCTCCCTGTTTATCAGCCTGATCTTGGCACATGGAGAGCATCTTACAATCAGTCGTTACCTTTATGACCAGTGAAGTGGTATGTAACCCTGTTCATCAGTCCATTGATCCTCACGATACGAGTCCATTTTGAGGTGTTTGTAATCAAACATGAGTGCTCTAAAACGCAAACATCTTTTTAAAGATTCCATACCACAGTTCCTAGATCAGTTGGTCATTGTCTTAATGGTATTGTTTTAACCATTCAGCTCTTCTGCAGAATAAGAGTTTGAGCTATAAAAGTGAGCCGTATTTAAATTCAACATAAATTCTGAAATTGTACTTAATAGGAAACTACGTTGTCATAGAGATCTTGGGGAAATTAGAAAACACACAATTACTTGAATTACTTTCTCAAAGAAATTCTGCAATCAGAATATTTTCAGAGAAAACCAGAATCACCTAAAACCAGGATAATAGAGCTCACAGTGGATTTCTTTCCACTTTTTCCACTTCTCTTCTAGTGTGTATTACTCCTGTGTACACTATCATCAATACAACTAGCTGTCTTATCAGAAGAAATAGCCACTTTGAAAATCTTATATCTCCTCCTTAATCTTCTCTCTTCCAGCTGGGAAGCATCAAAGTGGCTTTATTACTACACAAGGTGGAAAATTGTTGTGCAGTAAAATCATCCACTTGATTCACGATGACAACGTGAAGAATCAGGTCTCTAAAGTCCTTCATGAGTGTGAGCTAAAGATGTACAAATCTGTCGCCTTCCCAGCAATTGGAACAGGTTTGCGTTTTCTTGGGAAAGCGATAAGGGCTGTGATGCGGGTAGTTGAGAAACTGGGACAAAGTTAATACCTCTGATGTGGATAACAGTAGACTTCTAAAAGAAACTCTGGAAACTGTGATTTGTGAAAGTTCATTGTGGTCAGTTCAAACACCATCTGCACACTTCAAAAATGCTTTTTAAAATTATTAAAAAAAATTAAAAGCCATCTTAATACTTTCAATATTGATTGAAAGAAAAGGTATTGTTCCATAAAAGACATTCTGTTCCAAAACAGCCTGTGTATCTCAACTGGCCACCCTGACCTTTCTTCAAACTTCCCAAGACCTTGCTTTGGGATTCCAGCCCCACAGAAGGGCTGAGGCTGGGGTTTGTAGGTGAAGAAGGATGAAGATGTGCTGAGACCAAAACCTTGCCTGGCTGACTATGGAGACTGTGGGCTGGGTACAGAATACCTGCAGTTTACACCTTTTATAGGTCTTGTTTCAGCCTGCCTGCTCTGGCGGAGGGCTAGAGGCAGGCTAGCTTATTTGGCTTAAGCTTCTGGTTAGTTTGGGGAGTGGGGTTTGAAGAAAGCAGGGCATCCTTCTCAGACCAAGGCTACCCTTGACTGGAAAAAGAAATTGTGAGCTGGTGCTCGCTCAGTGTGCCAGGTTAGGGTAGGAGCTGGTGCGTGGGTCAGTGTTTGGACTCCACAGTAACAGCTACGGCAGGTCCCCTGGACTGCCAACATCATCTTCATGCTGGTGTCATGACGGCTGTCCAAGGGATGCCATGGCTGAAATTGGCAGGGGTCCCACCAGCGTTTCAGGATAAGCTTTAGGTTGCACTTCAAGCTTGTTGTAGGGGAATGAGAACAGTTGTTTTCAGCTTGATGTTCCTGTTTGTATGTTGAAATACGCTGTAGGCTTGTGCCAAAATCCTCTGCTGATTTTGATTTAGTTTGACTTTGGTACCTGGATTAAAGATGGGGATAGTTACGGAGAGGTAAAGATGGTCTGGTACAGCCCTCTGATTATTATCCG